CCTAAAGTATGATGTGTTAGATAACAAACTGAAATTATCTCTTTCCTTAATAGGCTACTTTGTCGGTATAAAATATGCACGTTCTTATTTAATTTTTTACGTTTATTGAATCTTTCATTTTGACCAGAATATAGAAACTGAACATAAAAAATGGTCTTCATACGTCCAACAGTTAGGCTCAGGCCTCTCATCACTGACAGGCTTATGGAGCAATTATTCTTTAGGACAGCAATGCTTGCTGATTGACACAATGTTTTCCTTTACCGTCGTACAAATGGTAAATCAACTTTCAAAGTGACTCTTTTATTGCTGCTTGCGGAGAACGAACGTGGGTTGTTCGCTTATTTTTATTATATACTAAATTTACGGCGATAACCCCTGAGCTACTAGGACTCTTTCTAGACTACGCTGTAGATACGCAATAACTCAACGTCATTTCAAATGTTAGGAAGAAAGTAGGACTGAAATAACGAAGTTATAGTACTGCTGATAGCTATAAGAATTTATTTTACTCTTGTTTTTTTTTCAGTTTTATTTCGCTCAAGTGTTATGATGTTAACATAACACCATACACAAAACGCCTGATGAAATACATGAGCAAAATTTTATATCCTCTCAATTTCTGTAAAATATAAATAATGCCTGAAGTTATCGACATAATACGACATAATTTATTTTATATATATTTTATTTCATTTTATTATGTGTATTTCTAACATTTATTACTATAATAAAATAATTAAAACTAAAAACTTTCATTATCATACAGTCTATTGTCCGTGGTTAAGTGCCAAGAACGCTGGCTGCGCTTCCTCGCTGCAGGGCTAGTATGGGCAGGAGACAATTTTATCCCCGGGGCAGGGAAAAATGTTTATATATCGCTTAGTTTTAGACACCCTTCGAGCATGGGCACACCGGTGGATATAATATCCACAGTAGATAAAATGGGAGATAAACTTAGATAGATTTGTATGAATATAAACTTAAACCCACGTCCAATGAACTATGATAAAATCGTCCCTATCAAATGTCAAGAAAGCATATTTATTTATCTTTTATTTGACTTCATGCTACGGACGGGGGATTCATGTCTACTCGTTATGTCAAACGGGGATATACTTCTCCCCGTTGCCGTGCTTTAGCATAAGGACAAGATAATTTTATCTCTTGTCAGTGGATATAATCGGGGGATATTTTTTTGTCCCCAGCCCATGCTAGCCGCGCTGAATGGCTCTACTTAGCCTTTGACTGAGAAAAAATTAGCCTTCTTATCAGCCAGCAGCAGTGACGTCTTATTCATCATCATCATCATTACAGCCCTTCACAAGTCCACTGCTGAACATAGGCCTCCCCCAAAGAATGCCACAAAGCACGGTCCTAAGCCACCTGCATCCATCGACTTCCTGCATGTCTTACCAGGTCGTCACTCCATCTCGTGGGGGGACGCCCTACACTTCGCCTACCGGTACGAGGCTGCCACTCGAGAACCTTTCTTCCCCATCGGTTGTCGGTTCTTCGAGCTATATGGCCGGCCCACTGCCACTTCAGCTTACTAATTCGTTGGGCTATGTCGGTTATTCTGGTTCTACTGCGGATATCCTCATTCCTAAGTCTATCACGCAGAGAAACTCCGAGCATAGCCCTCTCCATAGCTCGCTGAGCGACCTTGAGCTTCCTCATACGGCCAGCAGTGAAGGACCACGTCTCAGTTCCGTAAGTCATCACTGGCAACACGCACTGGTTGTACAATTTCGTTTTAAGGTTTTGAGGTATGTCTGACGAGAATATGTGTCGTAGCTTCCCGAACGCTGCCCAGCCGAGTTGAATCCGTCGATTGACCTCTCGGTCGAAGTTGGACTTACCTTGTCGGACTATTTGTCCCAGGTAAACATACTCGTCAACAACTTCGAGCTTAGTGCTCCCAACAACTACCGGCATAGGTGTGACATGGACATTAAACATGATCTTTGTTTTGTCCATGTTCATCTTAAGACCTATCCGTTGGGAAACACTATTGAGGTCATTGAGCATAGTGCTTAGGCCCTCCAGCGATTCTGCCATAAGGACTATATCGTCGGCAAATCGAAGGTGAGTGATGTACTCGCCATTGATGTTGATACCGTATCCTTTCCAGTCCAGAAGCTTGAAAACGTCTTCCAATGCAGCGGTGAAGAGTTTCGGGGATATGACGTCACCCTGTCTTACACCTCTCTGCAATTGGATAGGTTTCGTACTCTGGTTCTGTACTCGGATAGCCATCGTAGCCCTACTGTACAAGCACTTCAACACTTCGATATACCGACAGTCAACTTGGCACCGCTGAAGGGACTGCAGCACCGCCCAAATTTCGACGGAATCAAAGGCTTTCTCATAGTCCACATACGCCAGACATAGTGGCAAATTGTACTCTTCGGACTTCTGTACAACTTGCCGAAGGGTATGTATGTGGTCTATGGTGCTAAAGCCCTTTCGGAAACCGGCTTGTTCGGGAGGCTGGAAGTCGTCAAGTCTGCGCGCGAGACGATTCGTAATGACTCTCGAAAACAGCACGTAGACGCGGCTCAGAAGGGAAATCGGTCTGTAGTTCTTCAAGAGAGCGTTGTCGCCTTTCTTGAAGAACAAGACCACCGCACTTCTGCTCCACGCCTCCGGTGTAATGCCACCATGGAGGACGGAATTAAAGAGCCTCTGAAGGACTTCAAGTACCGGTCTTCCACCCGCTTTCAGAAGCTCCGCTGTAATTCCATCCTCGCCTGGGGCCTTACCGTTTTTAAGGTGCTGGAGAGCCATTCTAATCTCGCTCAGACTGACGTCCGGGATATCTTCGGAATAGTGTCGGATGAGACTCGCTCTTGGATCGTTACTCACACTTGCGTGTGGCTCCAACGATGACGTGTACAGCTGCCCATAGAACCTCTCAATCTCACTCAAAATCTCAGGTGTCCCGGAAACGATGCTGCCACATTCGGTCTTCAGCTTTGACAGTTGGCTCTTTCTGGCAGACAGATCTCTGGCAAAGACTTTGGAGCCTTGGTTCCGCTCTATCGCTTCTTCAATACGAGCTGTATTGAAGTTGCGCAAATCCCGCCGCATGCATTTGGAGATCTGTCTGTTCAGATGCCTGTATGCTGTCAAGTCTGTTGAAGAATGTAGCTTCATCTCCCGTCTAACAGCCATGAGATTAAGAGTGTGATCGGAGAGTTTTTGTGTTCTTCTGCGGCGGGTCTTGCAGAACTTAGCTCCGACCGCATGGACAGTTTCCACGAGCTTGTCATTCAAATCGTCCACTTCATTGCAGTCTTCTAGGCACTGAAAACGGTTTTGTAACTCGAGCTGAAAGGTTTCGGGACTTTGGATTAGAGCACGAGGGGGACGGAGCGTTGACTTCATTAGACGAGACCTCTCCAACTTAACGTTTAGGTTCAGTGTGCCTCTAACCATTCGGTGATCGCTACCAGTTTTCACCCTCGCGATCACGGAGACATCACTGAACAGTTGTCGTCTGGTCGTCATAATGAAGTCAATCTCATTTTTTGTCGAACCGTCGGGGCTCGACCAGGTCCACTTCCTGTGGGGCCGCTTCTGGAAGAAAGAGTTCATCATATAGAGTCCCTCTTTCTCCATGAAGTCGGCCAGCTGCTGGCCCCTTGGGTTCCGTTACCCTATTCCAAATTTCCCTACTTTCAGCTCACCGTTCTCTCTTGTGCCTAGTTTTGCATTGAAGTCTCCCATTAACACCGTATATTGGGTTTTGGAGGAATGCATGGCTCTAGAGATATCCTCATACATTTCCTCCACCTCCTGATCGGGGTGTGCCGAGGTTGGTGCGTAAACCTGTATGACCTTCAGCGAATACCGTTTGGTGATTCTGAGTATAAGGTACGCAACCCTCGTCGACACACTCCCGATCTTTACAACGTTGTTAACGAGAGACTTGTGGACGATAAATCCGACACCTCCTTGGGACAGATGGTCGCCCTCCCGGTGATAGAGCAAGTTGCCGGATTCGAGGATTACCGTGTCCTCCCCCTCTCTTCGGACTTCGGATAATCCGATAATATGCCAGCGCAACTTGTCTATCTCTTCTTCCAGCTCCACGATCTTCTCGTCAGTCCTCAGGGTGCGTGCGTTGTACGTTGCCAGGTCGAGTCGTCTAAGGTGGCAACCGAACCTCCACGACGTCTTATTATATTAGTGTAATATAAGTTTACTGATTCAATGAGGGCTAATAATTTTCTGCTCACTAGATGTCGCTAATTGACACTGAGATAAAGTTTTTTGTTACACAATGAAATTTAATTGAGAATTTGGTTTTTAATAAAAGCTTATCAGTTTCCAGAGTATTATATTAATACACAAAACAATGCGTCAGTGGTTTGCTCTTTAATTTTTTGCACATATTTAACCTTTTTTTTTACTTTTATGAATATCTGTGATTTGTTTTATTTATTTTTAATCTTATCTATTAATATAAAATATGGTCAATATTACAGAAAGAAACAATAACTTTTATATATTCTGAACAAATTAACTTCCCCGCTATGAAATCTGACAAATATTATACCTTACTTTCTAGTGGCGCCGCCCTGGTGACAGAAACAATCTTGGATGCCCTCTTTACAGTGATAAAAGACTACTTAAAGAAAAATTTGGTTGTGATACCGCAGTGGTGCATGTATTTATATTTCGTTATGTTTATTTTGATCAAATTATTCTATTTCTAATAGACACTCATCTATTACCTACTTGATAAATCTCAACGATGAATAAAAACATAATATCCGTCTGTGATTTTTGTTTCATAATTCTTTGTTCTTTTATGTTTTGTATCGTGACGACGTTTTCTTAAGCCCCGCTAAAACCAATATTTTACAAAAGTATATACAGTTTTATTATCCACTGTTGAACATAAGCGTCTGCCAAGGAACGCCACAAAGCATGATTCAGAACTAATAATTTAAAACAACATTTAAATTAAACTATATCATTTTCACCTGCAGGGATCTGGCAGCCCGCAATATTTTAGTGGACAGTGCAGGAATATTGAAAGTGGCAGACTTCGGCCTCTCCCGATCTGGAGTATACGTGCACACTCGGCCTAGACCGGTGCCGCTGCGCTGGTTAGCACCAGAGGCAATATTTCACGCACAATACTGCAGTGCGAGTGATGTTTGGGCCTTCGCTGTGCTGCTATGGGAGATAGCTACACTGGGTAAGAACTAATACTACCAAAATGGGAAATCAGATTAGTTCGATAAAAAAAAATTGTTATTTTTTGCAAAACCTGAATTAAAAAAGCGGCGTTTTCTTATATAGCTGTTCACTAGTTTCGGTCCACAGCTCTCACAGCATGATACAGAAACGATGTCTTGACATTTTCTAAATATTATATATAAAAGCTTTTAGAAAAATTTAATTCGCAAATATCCGCGTTATAAAATAAAATGATGTGTCTTACCTAGTATGAAGAACACCTCCCGCCCTCCCTCAATTGCGTGCACTATCCCCGTCACCACTAATCCCAGCACCGCTACTCCCAACACCACTACACTAGGCAAGACACACCACTGACGATAATACGACACGTGTTTCGCATCTACACGAGGCATCCTCAGGTGATATAGACTCTACGCTGGCTAACCGCTAAGTGAGCGGCGAGCCAAAACAAGTGCCTTTTATACAGACCGATGACGCAACCGCTCTCTACTTAAGGAGCGAGCGACTGCGTCATGCGATAAAACATGCGACCAATCACCGCCGGATTTACGCAGGCGTTTGCAAAATTAAAAACAAACCGCCGCGCAACGTCCACCCTCCAACCACGCAACCAATCGCCGATCACCGTGAGGGTGACAAACGACCATATTGCGAGGCTCTCTATTATTAGAGAGCAGGCTTAAAGATATTTAAGAGAGGTGAGTTAGTAACATTTGTTTATTCATTCAGCAATGCAACGGTATTATTATTACTTTTTGATATCTCCAACTGTTTCAGCACACAGTTGAGTTGACTTTCGATATATTTGGAAAACATGTGACGATTTTTTCTTGTTATTGTTAAGTCGAGAAAATTAAGGGAACAATCTTGTTCCAATTCAAAATTATATATAAATATATATATATATATATATATATATATATATATATATATATATATATATATATATATATATATATATATATACATATATATATATATATATATATCCACTTCTTAATTTTCTCGAATTAACAATAATAACAAGAAAATAATCCTCACATGTTTTCCAAATTTATCGAAAGCCAACTCATACCGACACGGTCATACCCGCGTCATCATGTCATCCGTTGCAACATAAAGTAGCCGCTTTTTATTGTGACATTAACCGTTTATTAACTGTCCTATTAAGTAAAGAAAATTATTTAAAAGAACTTAATATAATTTATCAAATAGCGGTCTCTAACGGTTTTTTAAAAAATCTCATTAACAATTTAATTAAAAAGAAACAAAAGCATGTTGTTCGCAACTCTCTGTACGCGGTTCAACCTCAAAGCGTTCATCGATATGTGAGCAGTTTGACCTACTTAGGCCTCATATCTGAAAAAGTAGCTAATACTCTTCGACAAAACGGCGTTCATGTGGCGTTCAAAACAAACAATTCTCTGAGAAATATCTGTAATAATAAAGATAAGTTGGACATTCGTCAAAAGTCAGGTGTTCACAAACTTGTTTGTGACGAATGCCACGCCGTTTACGTGAGTCAGACTGGTCGCAATTTCAAGACACGTTATAAAGAGCATTTAGCCGCGTACAGGAATTGCAATCCCGATAAATCCCATTTTGCTAAACATCTTTTGCACACTGGACACAACCTAGCCAACGACCACTCCTTTAAAGTCTTACATACGTGTAATAAAGGGCTGCGACTGTGTGTGCTGGAACAGTTAGAGATATTAAAAGTAATAATAATACCGTGGCATTGCTGAATGAACAAACAAATGTTACTAACTCACCTCTCTTAAATATCTTTAAGCCTGCTCTCTAATAATAGAGAGCCTCGCAATATGGTTGTTTGTCACCCTCACGGTGATTGGCGATTGGTTGCGTGGTTGGAGGGTGGGCGTTGCGCGGTGGTTTGTTTTTAATTTTACAAACGGCTGCCTAAGTCCAGCGGTGATTGGTCGCATGTTTTATCGCATGACGCAGTCGCTCGCTCCTTAAGTAGAGAGCGGTTGCGTCATCGGTCTGTATAAAACGCACTTGTTTTGGCTCGCTGCTCACTTAGCGGTTAGCCAGCGTAGAGTCTATATCACCTGAGGATGCCTCGTGTAGACACGTGTCGTATTATCGTCAGTGGTGTGTCTTGCCTAGTGTAGTGGTGTTGGGAGTAGCGGTGCTGGGATTAGTGGTGACGGGGATAGTGCACGCAATTGAGGGAGAGCGGGGGGTGCTCTTCATACTAGGTAAGACACATCATTTTATTTTATAACGCGGATATTTGCGAAGTAAATTTTTCTAAAAGCTTTTATATAATGGATTTCCGCAAAGTAACGCCTGATTCTATTAAATATTATATAATTAATTTATATATATTTAGTAAATTTTAAATTTCTATGGTAAAAGCTGTTGAATGGCATTACCTTAAAGTACTGGCTTATCGCATGAGTTAAGCCAGGACATTGGTATATTTTATTTAAACCAATGGTTGCTGTGGCCCATAGACATATACATCTATCCTCAATTACGAATCAAAATGCAGATGCGTTGTCACCCGTGAGGACTAAGATGAAATGCCTCGTTTCCAGTAAAAAAGGGTCTCCGGTTCTCTACACTCACCATACGAAACACAGCAGCCTTAACCTGCTATAACATAAATTGGAAAATCCAAAAGTGCACACCTCGAACGCTCATGTAATGTTTTGAATAATCAAAAAGTTTTAAAGTATTTCGTTTAAAACTAAAAAAAATGTTTCTGTTTAACTAACACGATTTTTTTGACTGCTTGATACCGGTGATTAGTAATTTGTTACCGCAAAAAAAAAGCATGTCAGAAAATAATAAAATAAAAAATTAAATATAATGAACGGTCCAAACCGTGCCGTTCATTAGTAATACTTAAAATATGAAAAAGCCATTATGTGCTCCGTGTTCCCTTTTTCTACCGACTTCAAAAAGCAGCCGGTACTCAATTCCACTGTATGTTTTTTTTGAGTGTTACCACATACAACTTTTTACTGGGTGAACCGATTTCGATGAAGAAGAAAGTTGGTGCTTCAGATGTGGTCCCATATAAATTTGATCAAGGTCTGACCAATAGCCAATATTTAGAGTTATTCTTAATAATTTATATTGAAGTCGGTTGTACAAAATTTTAAATTTTAAATTATTTATTTCATCAGCTAAACATTTTATAAAATATAAATAGGTATTTACTTAGTTAAGTATATTAAGTAAATACCTATTTATATTTTATAATACTATTTATATTTGATAAACATTATGTTATGAAAAAAAATCCGGGAAAACTGTCCATGGCAGTGATTGTTTTTTTAAATGTGCTCATTATAGCTCGAAAATACAACTTTCTGATCCGATTTTTGGGGAAAACTATTTAGTTTATTCGGTATATGCACCTCTTCAGAGATTAATTGGGATTTTGTACATTTTGAAAGGTGCAGCTTATTCCTGGGAACGTGAATATTTTTTAGTAATTTCAGAATATCATGTTAAAATTCAGTTAATTTTTGAAGTTATTCAGTTTCGTGCACTAAACTATCTTTTTAAATCTTTTTACCGCTTCCTTGACAATAATTTTTCAATAGTCCTTATAAATAAAATGCGTTTTCTGGCTGTCAGGTCGTCTATACGCCAGTATATTCTAAGACTATGGGCCAGACTATCCATATATCCTCGATTAAAAACTAAAATGCAGATGCGTCGTCACCCCAGAGGACTAAGATGGAACGCCTCGTTTCCAGCAAAAAGGGTCTTCTACACTTACCATACGAAAATTAAGTTGCTATTTCACGTTGGTATTCTGTGAGAGCGTGCTCCTTCCCAGGTCGAGTCAACCAATTTGTTCTATAATATAATTGCAGCATGGCTCTACCTCTACCACGTAAATACTTACATGAATATCCAATTCCAGGCGGCTTCCCATACGCGGAGCTAAGCAATCACCAAGTACCAACATTCCTGACGGGCGGCGGTCGACTGCCGAAACCAGCGCGCGCCTCTTCTCGACTCTACCAGTTAATGACCGAATGCTGGTCGGAGAACCCCCAAGATCGCCCAACGTTCGCCCTCATAGTGGAAAAGCTTACTGTCCAGAGGCAACTCTACGTGGACCTCGACTGCCTGTACCCAGCATCCGAAGACCACCTGACCCCGTTGAGCGACTACTTCAGCGCTGCGAGTGTTGACAGTGAAACCTTCGGGTGACCATTCCAAAGACTGATTACTATTTGTTATTTATTACGCCATCGCATTAAATGTATTTAAATTTTAACATATTTACTCTTTTATTCAAAAGTCGTGGTAGAGCCATACTGCAGCTATTTTAATAGTATGGTTGTGGCACGAAGGGATCGGTTCGACCGGGGAAGGACCACGCTCTCACAGAATACCAGCTTAAAATAGCAGCTTAATGCTGCTGTGTTTCGTATAGAGAGTGTAGAGAACCGGAGACCTATTTTACTGGAAAAAAGCCAGTCCATATTAGGCCTCACGGCTGACAACGCATCTGCATTTTAATTCGCAAACGAGGATAGATGTAAATGTCTATGGGCCACAGCAACCACTTACTATCAGGTGGACTGTGTGCTTGCTTGTCATCCTTATCCTATAAAAAAGTCATAATATGTGGATGTATATTGTTTACATATGAGTAAACTAAATTAAGAGCTAAACAAAGCGTCGAATTTCTGTAGTGTTAGCTAGTTATAATTTGATACATGAATTAAGTGGTAGTCGTGGTGAAGCTAAATTATGGCTGTAGCACCAATGGACCGGGAAGGACCACGATTTCACAAAATATCTGTGTAAAATAGCTGCTTAATGTTATAGTATTTTGCCTGGTGAGTATGGAGAATCGAAGAGATCCTCGGGTTACTTACTGGAAACGAGGCATTCCATCTTAGTCCTCGGGTGTGGTGACAACGCATCATACAGTTATAACCAAGTTGCTCCAGTGCGTGTTTACGTCCTTCACATATCCTCGAAATATTTTCGCCCTCAGACATGCATACATGCAGTTGCTTTACGATGTTTTCCTTGAACACATAGCACATTGTAAATCAGCATACGGAAAACGAGCACAGGTTGCTCGCGTATAGTATGTAATAATATATTGTTGGGAATGAGGGTACAAAAAATAAAAGGAAATACGAACAAATGAAGGTAGAAGGGTAATCTCCCACTTGTTTTAGCAGCACAGGCGACTAAGAGGTATCAGTCTGTTACTATGCTCGTTGGGGTATTCTACTAGTATAGGCAAGGAAGGTCATGTTGCTGAGAGTTTGCCCTATTACGTTGAGATGGGTAGTGATGCTGTTGGTTTGCATACTTTGGTGTTATCATGTAACTGGGTCCTGATAGTAAGCAGGATTTGTTACCGAGTAGTGTTCATTTATTTAAATACTTTTGAGTATAGTTTTTTACACCAGAAGTGGGATAGTTTCTAAAAATATATTAAATAATAAGTATTCTATTATTTTCTATTCTATCCGCTGATTTTCCAAAGCACATTTATCGCGTTTAATTTCAACTTATATTTAAATTTCCGACACATTGAATGCTTTACACACTCACTGTCATGGGGGGTAGAGGTACTTGTCAATATATCATAGTTAGCCTGGGCTACCTTCAGCTTTTAGACCATATGCTCCGTTGTATGCCGAACGAGCTTACAGTATCATGAAGTGTAGGGCTTCATTTGTTTAATATTATTAATTATGGGATTCCAAGCAGCTTCTCCAGCCTCTTCTGTCTAGGAATACGTCAGGGTAGGTACCGCCTTCTTTCACTGCCGTGTTTCAGTCTGGATGGTAGTGAGCAAGTATATACTTAATCATAAGATATATAGGACATTCAATCTTAGTTCTCAGACGTAATATCTTTCCCCTTTTTTGTTTGAAGTTGACTGCAGATTTCCATGGACTGCAGAGCCAATAACCGTCATGCATGACTGTATGTTTGTTTGCCACTTCAGTTGTTTTTTAAGACGTATGACACAAACTCCTAAAAAAATAAAACACATTTATTGGGTACAAAAAAAGGTATTTCAAACCTTGTACCACCAACATAAAAAGTTGAAAGACAGTCAAATAATACATTTTTCTAGAATTTAAGTCTACAATTTATGAAGCCGAATATAACTGCTCCGTGGAGCAGCGGCTTAGGGATGAGTTGAAGGGCCGCGGGTCCGAATCCCGCACGGTACAAGAATTTTTATGACCTACAAATAATTGTTATGGGTGTGGATGTTTGTCCTTGTGAAATATATATGTATTTAAACTGCCCCCGCGATACAGGAGAAAATCCTAGTGTGGAGGGAACGTTTTTTAAGAAGAGCATACAGCATACTGCAGACATAGTTTGTCACCATACTAAATAATAACGCCCCGTGTAGTGGCGGATAAGAATACTCACTCACGCAGGAATATTATAGGATTATCCGAAGTCCGAAGAGAGAGAGAGGACACGGTAATCCTTGAGTCCGGCAACTTGTTCTATCACCGGGAGGGCGACCATCTGTCCCTAGGAGGTGTCGGATTTATTGTCCACAAGTCTCTCGTCAACAACGTTCGAATCACCAAACGGTATTCATTGAAGGTCATACAGGTTTACGCACCAACCTCGGCACATCCAGATGAGGAGGTCCAAACGCATGCGGCGGGACTTACGCAACTTTAATACTGCTCGTATTGAAGTGCGATCGAGCGGAACCAGGGCTCCAAAGTCTTTGCCAGAGATCTGTCTACCAGAAAGTGCCAACTGTCGAAGCTGAAGTCCGAATGTGGCAGCATCGTTTCCGAAACACCTGAGATTTTGAGTGAGATTGAGAGGTTCTATAGGCAGCTGTACACGTCATCGTTGGAGCCACATGCAAGTGTCAGTAACGATCCAAGAGCAAGTCTTATCCGACACTATTCCGATGATATCCCGGACGTCAGTCTAAGCGAGCGAAAAAGCGAGAAAGCGGGTGAAAAACCAGTACTTAAAGTCCTTCAGAAGCTCTTTAATTCCGTCCTCCATGGTGGCACTACTCTGGAGGCGTGGAGCAAAAGTGTGGTGGTCTTGTTCTTCAAGAAAGGCGACAACGCTCTCTTGAAGAACTACAGACCGATTTCCCTTCTGAGCCGCGTCTACGTGCTGTTTTCGAGAGTCATTACGTATTGTCTCGCACGCAGACTCGACGACTTCCAGCCTCCCGATCAAGCCGGTTTCTGAAAAGGCTTGTTCAGTCTTGACAGGGTGACATAATATCCCCGAAACTCTTCACCGCTGCATTGGAAGTCGTTTTCAAGCTACTGGACCGGAAAGGATACGGTATCAACATCAATGGCGAGTATATTACTCACTTTTTGTACGTGGTAGTGCCAAGCTGCAGCTATATTAATAGTATAGTTGTAGCACGAATGGGTCGGCTCGACCGGGGAAAGGCCATTCTCTCACAGAATACCAGCGTAAAATAGCAGCTTAACACTGTTGTGTTTCGCATGATGAGTGTAGAGAACCGAAGACCCCTTTTATTAGAAACGAGGCATTCCATCTTAGTTCTCACATGTGATAACGCATCTGGATTTTGATTCGTAGTCGAGGATATCTTTGGGCCACAGCAACCACTTACCATCAGGTGGACTGAGTGCTCGTTTGTCACCCTTATTTTATAAAATAAAAACCTATAAAAAAGATATAGTCCTTACCTAAGCACTATGCTCAGTGACCTCAATAGTGTCTCCCAACGGATAAGTCTTAAGATGAACATGTACAAAATAAAACATGTTGAACGTCCATGTCACACCTATGCCGGTAGTTTTTGGGAGCATTAACGTCGAAGATGTCGACGAATATGTTTACCTGGGACAAATAGTCCGACTAGGTAAGTCCAACTTCGACCGAGAGGTCAATCGACGGATTCAACTTGGCTGGGCAGCGTTTGGAAGATTACGACATATTTTCTCGTTAGGCATACCTCAGAACCTCAAAACTAGATTGTTTAACCAGTGCGTGTCGCCAGTGATGACCTACGAATCTGAGACATTCTGAGACTTCTTCACTGCTGGCCGTATGAGAAGCTCAAAGTCGCTCAGAGAGCTATTGAAAGGGCAATGCTCGGCATTTCTCTGCGTGATAGACTTAAAAACGAGGATGTCCGCAGTAGAGCCAGAGTAACCGACATAGCCCAAAGAATTAGTATGCTGAAGTGGCAATGGGCCGGCCATATGGCTCGAAGAACCGACAACCGATGGGGAAGAAAGGTTCTCGACTGGCAACCCCACTAGATGGAGTGACGACCTGGTAAGACATGCAGGAAGTCGATGGATGCAGGTGGCTCAGGACCGTGCATTGTGGCATTCCTTGGAGGAGGCCTATATTCAGCAGTGAACTTGTGAAGGGCTGTAATGATAATGATACTAAATAACAAGTGAAATAAAAAAATATTATGTATTATTATTTTTTAATTATAAATTCTGAGCTATGTGTAAAAGTTCAAGTCCCACGCTTGTCAGGAAGTTAGATTAAAATCAATTACTTAATTAGACCCAAACAGACATACGCACAGGCGAGTTCATAAAAACTATAAATACTATTTTTGAAAGGTTATCTTTAAATTATCAGAGTGCATCACATTCGAGAACAAATACCATCAGCAGTCTTTTAGCAATCGTTTACAAGCTGTATTGGTTTTTCCAAGTTCAAGTTTCGCTAATAAAAAAACCACGGTTAATTTAAATTCCTAAATTCATTTCGACTTATTCAATTGTTATTACATGGTATTGATGTCGATACTTTCCTTATCAAGGTACATGTTGCGTAAATGAAAAGAATAAAATATTACTGTTGCATTTCTGAAACACATTTTTGAAGCGAAAAAGAATGAATTTTATAAATTAATTATCACACGTGTATTCCTAAATCGTAATAGTTCGTAGCCAGAGCGATAGAATAAAAAACCGACCGACTGGTTTCGCCTCACGTTATCATCAGGGTATATAAGATGTTATACCCTGACGATGCCGTATGATAATTATATTATATATCTACGTGGTAGAGCCATGCTGCAGCTATATTATGGTTGTAGCACAAATGGGTCGGCTCGACCGGGGAAGGACCACGCTCTCACAGAAAACCAGCGTAAAATAGCAGCTTAACGCTGCTGTGTTTTGTATGGTGAGTGTAGAGAACCGGAGACCCTTTTTACTGGCAAAGAGGCATTCCATCTTAGCCCTCACGGGTGACAACGCATCTGCATCTTGAGTCTTTATTGAGGATAGATGTAAAT